ATTTTTAAGCTCATTCACTGAAATGAATTCGATCATTAATATGTTTTGAATTCATCGACAGTATTAATTGGTCCCCTCACCTTTGCATCAATTATCATTTGACCATTGAAATTACTATGTTATTTACTAATAATAATTAATATTACAACGCATTGTATGTACGTATAATAAAGATCATTTTATATACAGTCTATTACAGCTCCCTCGGAATTCCGGACTCCCTGCAATGTCCGTTTGATTGAAGCTCCCATAATAATGGTGATGAGCAATCAGCTGGAGAGATCAAATAAGAATTTGATGATTCTGTGATGTTTTCAGTGTTTTCTCACATTTTACTGCCGATATCCAATCTAAAGCCATTGTTATCTTATCAAGGCGCATGAAGGATGTGAAAAATCCGGCTGGAACACGAAAATCTGGCTAAAATGTTGGATAAAGAATGAAAAAGTCTGAAATTTGATCAGCTTAATTGTAAGCGTAAGGTTGAGGCTAAGTTTCGGAGGTATTAGCCTAGGACAAAGCGCAAGCTTGCTCACAAGCTTAATCCAGTTCGAAATTTTGAGTTTCTGACAGTTTTACTTTATAAAGTCCATTGCATGATAGTTGTGCGATCGATGGATGAGCGATCGAATTGAGATCATTAAATGAAAACGCACGACGAATAATTGCCCGATATTATCGCTAGGTTTACATGAAATGAGAAATGGATATTAAATAATAAAGAATGTGATAGTGATTATTATTATTATTATTATTATTATTATTATTGTTATTATTATTATTGATATTACAGCTGCAGTGTTATTATTACTGAAGGTGCTTCGAAACACATATTCAGATGGCGTTTATTTTTATGGTATTCGTTGAAATGATCATTACATCAGGGATCGAGTGACAATCATGTGAGATTTTTTGATATCTGGGATTAAATAGCCGTCTAGATAGATGGGAGATATAGTGTGGTCTTAGATCGGGATTGCGGTCTCAAGCTTCGTCTCAATCGCAAAAACTCCATCCACTAGCCGAGTTCTTTATTCTTTTTAGGAATTCAAATCTGTTGCTGATGGTTGCCTTTGCACACTTCCAGTTCGTAGGAGATCCATCTGGGCATCGCTTTCAGAACCTGATAAGTTCCCAGTTGATTTCGAACGTGTTTGGGATGAAGTTGCCGATTTGATCAGATGGTCACCGCAGGAGGATGGCTCGATAGTTCCAGAGGTCACAGTTGAGCTCGAGGTCTTTGAAAAGCGTTCACCAATTTGAAGTGATAGCACGACAGCTGAAGTAGTGGACTATTGCTCGGAGGGGATTTGCTCGAGGTTGATCTTGAGATTAGTATCTTTTTGGAAAAGCATTTTTGACGACTGGCTTAATTCCGAGAAATCTCGAATATTTTTGATCTAGCTATCAGATCAAACACGAATCAAAATATTTCTTCTGCTCTGTTTGTTAAATGAATAAGCTTCAGACAAATTTGTAACTTGTACAAAGGCTGCGAAAGAATATGATTTGAACTGATCATGAGAGAATAATCTGAAGAATCGTGGAGTTATATCAAGATTCAATTCAAAAAATCCAACAAACCAATCAAAAAAGTGATATAGTAGATATAAAATCCTTCGTGTACAGTCGGATATAAGCGCTGTTGCATTTCCAAACAACGATTCAGTGCAACCGCGCTGCCTAACAGCATCGACAGCCGCATAAGGTACCAAACCGTTTGATTACTGGTGCGAAAGCCGGCGAGTCTGGAATTTAAATGCGATTTTAGCGATTGTCTGGGTTGTCAGTGCAGTTTATTGCCGTATCCATTTGAAGTTTGGGGGTTTTAGTGGATAAATCAACAATAAAGCGGAATGTCAGAGCTGGTTGATTATTCCTATGAGCGGATTCATTCACATTTAGGAGCTCGCTCGAGAAAATTGTTTTGAAAGTGTTTCGATAATTTTCTGGTTCTGAGTGAAATATTGAGCGCTGAAAACTTTTTCTGAACGAAATATTCGGAATGAAATGAAATTTTGCCGAAAATTGTCTGGAAATCATAACGAAGAGATGGATGGACTCACGCAAGAACTGCCCATGTGACGAACACCAACAAGGTGGAGTAGAAAATTCTTTCGGTGATACCACAACTCGCCAAGTGATGATCCACAATGGCGCCCGCATCCATCGAACTTAACTGCACATTCAATTTCAGGTTTAAAGACCTGAAATGGTGTGAAAAAATTAGAAAAGCAATTCGGATCTTCAAAAGTAACTTAAGCAATTGCAGTGATGGGGCAATTGTGGTCTTT